GTACTGTTCAGGTTCTTGCTGGTTGGTAACAGGAGGAACTGGGCAGGACTGATTTCTATGTTTAAACTGGTGTGTATCTCTGGGGAATAATTTATGGGGGGAAGAGAGGCTGCTTAAATATTAATTCAGGGCTCTCTGGGGCATCCCAACTTCGTCAAGAATCAGCTGTTATTGCCTGGGTAGCCTGGCTTGAGCCTGGTTGGTTTGTACAAGCCAGGTTGGTATAGTATTACTACTGCCAAGCCAGGGTTTTATTTCTTTTGGCTTAGTTCAAACATGTAACCACCTCAACTGGGCTTAACCCAGCCTGTTGTGGATGGTTACAACCTCTCCAGTCGTCACTAAGCCTTCATAAAGGGCTGGGTTACCTGGATTCAATGTAAGGCTGAAACTGGTTGTAATGTTTCAGGGGTTTTTACTAGCCTGTTTTGGGTGGTTATGACGAAACTACAGACTCATTCCCCCTTGTTCTGGTCGTAGTAAAGTCTTCCAAGTTTCAGGGGTGATGTACTGGTCATCAGAGCGTCCTCTGATGCAACAAACTAGTGCTTTTGGGGGCTAGAATACACAGAAGACCTTGTATTTGTGTGGGAACTTCTTGTTGGAACTCGGCTCTGTGACACTCCTGTGAAATCATGATCCCATTATCAATGATCTCCTTTCTCTGGGACTCGACTTCATTGACTCAGTACTCACCAAAACTATCAACTTCTTTCTCACACTCAATCTTTGATTTGACATCGTCAACTCAACTACATCAACTCTAAAATACTCAACTGTCAGACTCGATTCCATTGACTCTGCCTCTTCAATTGATCACTACACAGCGCTTCCTTTCCCTTTGGTGAGAAGATCACAACCGACATTCCCATCATCAATCAACTAACTCCTTCCTTTCATTTCTCCATCTCAGTCCTGTGCCTCCTTACTCCCTTCCTGTCCTGCTTTTCCTTTTGTCTCTCTATATTGCTTTGCTTCTTCGACGGTGATTATTTCTGCTATTTTTCTCTCGTCTATCTTTTGTATCATGTTCTCTAAATTTTCTCTAACTTCTTTGTTTTCCAGTCTGGTCTTGGTTTTACTCTTGAAATCAATAGGCTCATTAGTTACTCCAACCATGCTCCAAAATTGATTCAACCAAGCTTTGATGCACAGTCACTGTGCAGACTGAAAAGTGACTGTTCCAAAAGTTCTACAGGACAACATGTGGAGTTTGGATGTAAGCTTGGCTGGAGCATGCTGCATGTCAACTGCATGCAGTTGATCAAGTTTTTTTTGCAGTGTTGGCCAGCCCTTTTGTTGACCAATTTTCCCTTCTTCCCCTGCAGCCCTTGCCAGACCCACCTGCACTGCAACCAAGGCAAAAACAACGGCAGGTAAGTTGTTTTCACCTCATCTGTCAGCCCTTTTGCTGACCAATGGTTTTTTTTTTGTAAAGCCCCTGACAGAGCCACCTGCACCGCAAACAAGGCAAAAACGACAGCAGGTAAGTCGTTTTCACCTCATTGGTCAGCAAAATGGCTGACCGATGGTTTCTTTTTTGTGTCAAGCCCCAGCAGCCCCTGCCAGAGCCACCTGCACCGCAACTGAGGCAAAAAGGACGGCATGTAAGTCTTTTTCACCTCATCGGTCAGCAAAAGGGCTGACCGATGGTTTTTTCAGCCCCTGCCAGACCCCCTCCACCACAACCGGCAGGTGAGTAGTATTATGCACATTGGTCAGCAAAAGGGCTGACTGATTTTTTTTTCTCTGCTTCCACTGCAGCCCCCACTGAACCCCATCTCCACTGCAACTGTGGCATAAAAGACCTGCAGGTAAGTAATTTTCTGCACATCAGTTAGCAAAATCACTAACATTTTTTTTTCTGCTGCAGCTGCAGCCCCTGCCACCACCACCTCAACCAAC